AGCGCCTTCACCAAGTAGAACTATGTCATAGGCATATTCTAAGTAGACCAGTGAATCTCTTGGTAGAAGGTCCACTCCTGAAGAGTCAGACGAAGAGTATGTTATATTTAGAGGCATGTCTATCACAAAGTTAAATAAGAATGGGGAGAGTGGACAGCCCTGACGGACACCACTTGAAGTAATCACTTCTGATGACAGTTCATCATAAACTCTCACTCGACCTGTAGTGTTCGAGTAGATAGCCAATCATACACACTTGAATCCCTAACAAAATGTATCGATTACCCTCTCCAAGATTACTGATACGATTAGCACGAACCAAAAAAAATCAATAATCAAAGTCCAAAGTTGTTTGATTACTACTTACAATCAATCATCTAATTAATAGTAAAAAAAATAATTAAAAAAAAGTTACCACAAATGTACAATAATTTGATCAGTGTGTTTTCAAAAAAAAGCAAAATATGTGTAATCGGCTAAAATGAGAAAATATTCATTCTCTCATTAGATGATGGAATTATATAGTAAAAAAAGATTTAGAAATTATGTAGACAAGAATTCAGTCAGAATGAAATTTTTAGAAATCTAGAATATTAGTATTAGTAATAATAATAATATTAATAATAATAATGGTAATAATAATAATAATACAAACTGTTGAGTAACAAACATCTCACTTCTCGTTAATAAATAAATAACTATATGAATAAAAGCACAACAGCATACAAACATAAGAATATTATTTCATTATCAGTCCATATGTTACTGTTTGATTTAATAATAAACTAATGGAGATATCATATCAGATTCGATGACTACTGGCAATGAACTAACTTTGTTAACATTTCATAATGAACATGATTTGATAGTCGTCATTCTGGTCATATTGACGATGGTAGTAGTTGTGAAAACTGGAGAAGTAGGAGAAGAAGGATAAGGATAAGACGAAGAAGAAAGATAAGAGCTAAAATTAGTCGAAGGCAACACTGATGATCAGGATCAGGAAGGATCATGTAGGTACAGAAAGAATACTGAGAAATACAATCTGCAGCTTAATGTTTTGACTGACTGACTGACTGATCACTTGTTACTGGTTGATGATTTGAAGTTCTAACAATTTGTAAAAGAAAATATACATACATCGTTTAGATGATGATAACAATTAGATTTTTGAAATGACCGATTAGTAGAACAATGTTTACAAATGTTTACAATGAATATATCATGTCAATCAAATAATGAAGGTTTTTGTAATTATCTCATTACGTAATGGTTTTGATGTTTTTTAATGATTGTTTGAAGTCTGTTCATCCACCTTTGACCTACTATTGATAAAACTTGAGTTATTTAGTTATTTTATAAATTTTCTTACTACTATCAGTACTCACCTGTCTTCCTACTATCCACTTGTACTTTTGCCTATTATATGTAGTTACTTAATCTCTATTTCATTTTATTGTGATTATTGACTCATAAATGGCCTTGATTGGTTTAACATTTTCAAGTATAAATATTCATGTATATTAAAGTAAAGCCTGAAGACGATCTAATCGAAAACAATATTGTTCGCTTATATGTGTTGTTCTAATTATCTCATTGTTCATAATGAGGAGTGAATTTTTGATTAGCATTGGTGGGCAATTGTGAATCCTGTGAGGCGGCTTATATAGATAGGATCAGTTTTTCATAAATTATTTTTAGGATAAATGAAGACAGTGAAACTCATTGTTTTGTTTACTTCAACCGGTAAATATTAACAAATGGGATTATTCAAGTCTTTATTCTAAGGATTATACACATATTATACTAATAGTTATCTGAAATTAGTAGCTGAATGAACAAGGTGTTAGTGTTTGAAACGAAAGATACTGGGTTCCCGTTCAAATGCAAACCTCAAAACTAGGATAGAGATCCATTGAACTGGCAAGCTCCAAAGTAGGAACCAACATATATATATATATATATATATATATATATATATATATATATATGAACTTATATTCCATAATCCATCAGTTCTAAAAAATATCACTAATACCTTTTAGCATTGATAAAACAGGAAACAAGAAGGTTTCAGGTTCGAATATGTATAGGATCTTAAGCGATTAGGGACAATTCAGCATTATTGAACTAAATTAACTCTAATCAGATGGTTAGGGTCTACGTGATTAATGAAATCAAAAGTTCAAAACTTCAATATGTATGTGTGCAGTGTAACACAGATAGAGATGTATTCAGTCTTTATTCTTTCTTATTTAGATTTTGAAGTGTGATATTTTCAAACTGGAGTGGGTAGTTAGGAAAAGATGAAATTTATAAAACTGAACATGTAATCATTTATTATTCTTATGTTTATTGCATAATTACCAAATATACTAGTTCTAATTCTTAAAGCTTTTGTTTAACTTATTGACCGTTGATCTATTGTGATGATGATGGTGGTGGTGTTTGGTTCTCTGAGCTGGATGTTTTGGTTGTGGAGCATTAATTGTTCTTCTTCTGAACAACAACATCATCATCAGCACAAACTTCAGATAGCAGAAGTGAAGAGCATTCGAATTTCTCCACGATTGACCTGTAGCTTGTTCTGCTAACCTCAAACTATCACTGATCAATTATCCATCTAATTCTTCGTTGTGAACAGTTTCAAGAGGTTTTAACATCGTACCTAATATATAGTGCCCTACTAACTATGCTGGAAATCTGTGCGGAAAAGTAAGATATACTATCCCTACGATCAAACTATACTAATTTATCTCTCATTGAAAAAAAAGAACAGCATCGGTTTAGATTCTTATCGTCTGAATGGAAAACCATACTGCTCTCACACTTCTGTACGAACCTCCTTTATATACGATTTTATCCTCGGATCATGAGTTTGTTGACTTTAGTCCTCTACCGTTCTACAATCAAACTCTACCCGACATGGTTGAATTTATATGAAATGATTATTGCAGCCAAAACAGTTAGATTGAATGATCACGATATGTATTTTTATACAGAGAAATCACGGTTTACTCATAAAGTTATTGAATTCAATTCGTTACAAAAAATATTTTTAAACTAACATACATAAGGTGTATTAATTATTATTATTTACAAACTTGTCCAATTAAATGAAAGGAAAAAAAAGTAGAAGACTGTATACACAGTGTGTGTCGAAGAATTTTTTTACAATTTATCAATTCTACTATTAAACAAAAAAATCACTTTCTAGTATTTTTTTTCATAGGTCTATCAAATGGATCTGAGAAATGATTGGATAATACCATTTGACAATTATTAATTCAATCATAAAACAATAATACGATTTAATCAAGTTGTTGTATCGACCAATTATGACAGGTCTAATTAAAGTTTAAAAAACAAAGTGTAATCTGTCATCGTGATACAAATGGGTTTCATCAAATCAATTGTAGAGGACATTCTTAGGTTACTAGTCTTCGATCATCGATGTCTCCGAAGCATTGCTTGTGTATTCTGGGATGATCGAGTAAACAATGCTATCGTTAGGAGACGAGTTCGAGGTAAGGATGGCAAATCAATAGATGAAGCATTGAAACTTCATCAGTTGAGGTGGTTGGGTGGGACATGTGTTACGTATGCCTAACCACCGACTGCCTCGACGAGTTATGTTTGGTGGTGTAGGAGTAGGTTGGAAGAAAGCTAGGGGCGGCCAGACCAAAACATGGCACAAATCCATGAAGTCATTGACGAGTGGACTGAGTCATGTTGTTAGGTGTAAACTACCTGGTTAGGGTCCTCTAGATGATAATAATCGATGGTTAGAGACCCTGAACGACATGGCTCAGAATCGTTTGCAATGGTGCAGGTGCATCCACTGTTTGTGTTCTCTCAAATTCTAACCTTCTGAATTCCTCATAATCTCTACCTTTCTCCTTCTAAATTTATCTCATTGAATTATACTTTTCGAATCATATTTTTGCTCGCTAATCTTCTCCATTGCTGCTAATAATTCTACTATCGCTATCACTCTTGGATTTGAACTGACAGGTACGTCTCTGTGCTGATGTGGTATGGCAACCTGAACTGATGTAATTATGTACGAAGTTCTGTGTTGTATCTGTCTGTCTGTCTATCTATCAAATCAATTATAATGTAATGAATTAAATGAGGAACCTATCATAAAATTACTGTATAAGATATATTTCGCTTTGTTAAATATCTTTTTTTTGCTAAGTCATCTAATCAAAATATAGATTAATTTAAAATCATGAATCGACTAATGTTAGACCACTACCGGAAACCTGGAAGCAATGGACAGATGATTCGTCTTTGTATTGGACTTATCAGTAGTGCGTATCCATGACTCCTGAAGGATTGGAAGCCAGGACCTTCGGTCTTACGCGCAAACGCTCAACCTCTGGACCATTGAGCCGGCATTCAACGCTGTTAATGTCTGATTTCGATCAATCCACGGTGCTGTACAACCTCATCCACTGTCTTTGGTGAGCAATGCTTCACACTTAAACTTAAACTGGGTTGAACTCCACTAGCCACAACTGCCCACTAGAAGCTAGTGAAACTTCCTCACAGAGCTAGTCATTAGTCAGTACAATAAAGGTGTATATAGAATCAAGAAGTAAAACAGCTGACCTTTGAATACTTTGAAGTGATGATTTTGAATAACTACTAGTAATCATAATTTACACAATATCAAGGTGAACATTGAATGGGAAATATTAATGGTTGCGCCACCTTCGCTATAAATATGACTGTTAACGCATATCATCCACTTTTAATCTTCATATAATCTGGGCTGTACCATTAACCAATGTGATATTGGTGGCATAAATTAGTTTTCCCTATTACAAAAGGATATGATACACTATGATACACTCTGATCCAATTCAGTAACTGATAAAGAATGTATTCTTTTTTTCATGTTTAGTATAACTGCGAATTGAAACTATGTCTAACTCACCTAAATTTTGTTCAATATTGTCATTGTGAATAAGCATTGTGATAGTAGGACACTTTTAAGAAGAATTATTTTCCAAAATTTCACCACGACTACGGCTACTACTACGACTACTACTATTATTATTATTACCACTACTACTACTACACTTGGCATTGTCATGATTCACAGTGTTAGTAGTACTAGTATTTTCGATAGAATTTTCAACATTTTCATTTTCATGTATCCATAGAGATTCATTATTTTGGTCAGTATAACTAAAACAATTCGATTTATCTTCCATAATTGTTAGTTCATGTTCAGATTCTTTTTCAAATGTTGATGGCATTAAACTGATTGATGACAATGAACTTTTGGATTGATTTGAACAGATATTTGGCGGCATGATCACCTCAAGTGTTTTCATTTTTAAAGAAGGTGGACAAATTGGTGTTGATGATGAAGATGATGTAGAAGAGGAGGAAGAAGACGACAACGACGATAATGATGACGATGATGAATGAGGATTTTTGTTTTTCTTTACAGGTGACTCAATATTTTTTTCAGTAAATGACGGTGATATTGGAAGGGATGTATCACCTTTAAAATCAATAAATAAAAATGACCAAATAGATCATTTTAATTGCACTGATCACAAATCCTATATAAACAGAATCAATATATATATATATATATATATATATATATATATATGTAATTGATGACGGCTTGGATTAATCCCGATTTTGTTATTTTGAGTGAAAATCAATCAGTCTTAGTTGGCATATATGCATCCTGTGACGGTCGCCTCGATATAGCCAACAAGACATGAAATGTTTAGAATAGATGGAATGTGGTTAGAGGGTGGAATCCATAACGCAAGTTTCGTCCTATTATTGACTTTGTCAGCTGAAATTTCTTGCTGCCTAAAGTTGAACTATGAGTCTGAGATTCTAACTCAGTACCTTTCTCTTCAAATGTCCAATGAATTATCATCAGTATATGTTTTTATAGTTTAATCATGATATTACAACTGAATAATTAATTAGTTGAGAAAACATGAAAGAACTAGACAGAAGTTTCATCCTTTCACATAAAAATTATTCACTGCAAATCCATGGGATTAACTGATTGTTCGATCCTTATAAATGATAGCTTCGAAGAATGAAGCTACTCCGAAGTCATAAGTGATTAGGTTTAAACATTGTATTGTACAAGACATGCATTACTTTACCCCAATATTATGTGAATCGAATAAAGATCGGAGCGTCACAACTATCAAATTCCAACTTTAGTCATAAATCTTCATGATTCTTACGAGGCATGAATTCCCTTAGTTCAGCTCAAAGTTAAATAGTGAGGTGGCGGGGATTGTACAATCCTGAGTAACTTTAACCCAAAATGCAACAGTTGGGTCGATATATAAGAGATATAAGAGCATTAGATTTAGTTTCATTTTCTAAAAGAGAGCAAGCTGTCAGTTGAAAATGTAGCTTTATTTTCTAGGAGATAGGGATTTATATTAATGAACGAGTGTAGTACATACGGATGTTGACAAATGAAGTTTTCCTCTAACTCTTGGTATTCTCACGAAATCTCAGCTCGGATACAGAGGGCTCGATTGGCTTTTGCCAACCTGAGTCACTTATGGCGCAGGTGAGATATCCGACTGGCTAAAGGACAAGTGTACTGCGCTGTAGTTCGCTCCGTCCTACTATACGGATGCGAAACATGGCCAATGAGAGTAGAAGATATTCGTTGGTTACTTGTTTTCGATCATAGGTGCCTCCGAAGCATTTTTCGTGTATCGTGAGACAACCGAGTAATCAATGCTGTCGTTAGGAAACAGGTGCTAGGTAAGGGTGGCAAATCAGTAGATGAAGTAATGAAACTTCATGAGTTGAGGTGGTTGGGTGGGACATGTGCTACGTATGCCTAACCACCGACTGCCTCGTCGAGCTGTTTTCCGATGTAGTAATAGGTTGGAAGAAAGCTAGGGGCGGCCAGACCAAAACATGGCACAAATCTATGAAGTCACTGACAAGTGGACTGAGTCATGTTGGAAGATGTAGACTATCTGGTTGGGGTCTGCGAGACGAAAGTCACCAATGGTTAGAGATCGTGAACGACATGGCTCAGAATCGTTTGTAATGGTGCAGGTGCATCCACTCTTTGTGTGCTTTTTAATTCTTACCTTCTGAATTCCTCATAATCTCTCTCTTTCTCCTTCTAAATTTATCTCATTGAATTATATTTTTCGAATCATATCTTTGCTCGCTAATCTTCTGGATTACTGCTAATACTTCTACTATCGCTATCACTCTTGGATTTGAACTGACAGTTGCGTCTCTATGCTGATGGGGTATGGCAACCTGAATTGATGTATTTATGTACCAGTTCTGCGTTGTATTTGTCTGTCTGTCTTGGTTTTCTCATTAAACCCAACTGTTTTGGATTCATGTTCAAGTAAGCTTATAAAGTAGTATCATAGTTAGTTGATCGTACAACACACAATAATAAGTCATTAGTATTATCGATGTGAAATGGATTCAGTAAATCATAGTTAACCTATTAAGGTGAACTCATATGGAAGTTGAATTCATAACATTTTAGTGAATAATTAAAATGGAATTAATTACTATTATCAGCATTAAAATGATTAATTATTCAATTGTACAATGTAGATTTTGACCATCAATATCTATTTCATCAACTGATTAAATACTATCAATTTTCAACAATCATATTTCAAGATTCAGAAAAAGAAAACTAATGAAATGATATTTGAAACTTACTTGATTTCTCATCATCATCATATTGATCTTGGATATTTTCAGGTGGATTTTCATTACTTACATCATTATTGCACCCATCATCTGTTGTATTCAGATAAAAAGAAAAGTATTTGATATTTTTAAAACATATAAAAGATCAAATACTGTTATGTTCGTCACTAGGTACACTTGAAGCTATTACGAGTTCACTTTAGTCGATAAACGCGAACGAGACGATAAACCAGCGTCTAGATAGGCTACCTTAAATCCCAAGCTATAAACGGAAGTCTTTTCAGGCGTAGAAAGTATATTCTACAAACACTCAGCAAACACAATACAATCAAGCACAAAACATACATCATAGAAATGTCCTTGGGACAGTTACGAAAATAGCACACTAAAATACACAGCAGCCAATCAAAGCCAAGCATTTTCCTGGTGGGAAATGAAATCTTAATGTCAACCAACTGATCAGCCCATGCTCGCAAACGTGAAATCCAAAATCAAGGCATTTATCAAGCGAGTTTTGGGGGATCTAACATCCCCAACAAATACTATCATGACTGAGTATGCAAAACAATGACGTGGTCGACTGATTAGTCAAATACGAATACAATTATCGTTTATAAATTAAATTATCTACTCGTTCAGAGTCTTACATTACAGATCATAGCCCCTTCCCCTTGTCATAGACTTCAACTAATGCTGAATATAAAAGTGGTATTAAACACTAACTGATAAATGTTTTAATGTATTTATTTTGGAAAAAAATCCATGTCTGTCAGTTCAAATTGCTTATAAGATTGTAGATATAAAGCTTTCATTAACCATATATTTATGCTTTTAAAAAAATGAATTAATAAAAACCAACATGAGTGAGGATGTAGTGTGTGTGTGTGTACAATTATGTCGACCACATAGAGCTTGTCCCAAATCTCCTTCGGACAATTTAATAAATACATTCTTGCATTACGGGGTTGTGAAGATTGTTAAGTTACACATTTTTGAAACCATGAATCGATCAATGTTAGACCACCGTTAGAAACCTGGAAGCACTGAAGGACGGCCGTTTCGTCCTGGTATGGCACTCCTCAGCAGTGCGCATCCACGACTCCTGCACCCCGCAGGATTCGAACCCAGGACCTTCGGTATTGCGTGCGAACGCCCTAACCGATAGACCACTGACATTGATCGATTCGTGGTTTCAAAAATGTGTAACTTAACAATCTTCACAACCCCGTAATGCAAATTACCTGTGCTCACTAGTGACCAGCTTCGTGAGGAATCTTCTCCGAGTTCTAGTGGGAAGACGTGACCAGTGAAGTTCAACCTGTTCGGGTGTAGACAGTAACTACCGAAGACTGTGTATGAGGTTGCGCAACTCCGTGAATTTGATCAAGTTAGACATTAACACCGTTAGATACCGGCTCAGTGGTCTATCGGTTAGGGCGTTCGCGCACAATACCGAAGGTCCTGTGTTCGAATCCTGCGGGGTGCAGGAGTCGTAGATGCGCACTGCTGAGGAGTTCCATACCAGGACGAAACGGCCGTCCAGTGCTTCCAGGTTCCTAACGGTGGTCTAACATTGATCGATTCATGGTTTCAAAAATGTGTAAATACATTCTTCTCGTGTTATATTATTCAAAAGATGTCTTTAAACCTTGTCCATTATTCATTCATACTCAACTTTTGGTTGTTTTAATTTAAGTGCGTAATGTACATTTACCCCATCACACAAACGGGGTTCACCTAAGCCTGATAAATGGAAATTTAAGGGAAGATTTATTTCAGAGCATGTCCAACTGTTCATCTTGGTTAGAGTCAGGTACTAGGCCACCAAAATGGGTTATCCTTCTTACTGAAACATATGTTTTGGTAAAATGTGCAATTTAATAACAACTTAAACAATATTCTCTGTTGAGATTGAATTATTACAAAGTTTCTAAATAAACACATCACCATGAAAAGAGGAATGTTCAAATAGTTTATAAGATCTAGAATAGAAAAGTAACAAAACCAGTGAGAACATGCCAACATTCATCACTTAATTCCCGATAACTCTAACTGATACTTTTTATTTGTATTGTGGTGATACAGTAGCCGGTGAGAAGAATGATACTACCTACACACTCCACAGTGAATTTTTCAATTCAATTCATACCTATGATTCATTCTATGATCATTAATGGTTCCTGAAGTCACCTTTACAGTGGTGACTTTAGTCTTACAGGAAAAATCAGCTCCTTGAAAGTTCTAAGTTCATGATGAGTGCTTACATGCAGTAAAAAAAGCAAGTCCAGGATTTCTTATCGACTATTCTTCAACCACCGGCTTACAGACAGACAGATACAACGCAGAACTTCGTACATAAGTACATCAGTTCACGTTGCCATGCCCCATCAGCACAGAGACGCAACTGTTAGTTCAAATCCAAGAGTGATAGCGATAGTAGAAGTATTAGCAGCAGTAATGGAGAAGATTAGGGAGCGAAGATATGATTCGAGAAGTATATATCAGTAAGATAAATTTAGAAGGAGAAAGATAGAGTTTATAAGGAATTCAGAAGGTTAGAATTAAAAAGCACACAAAGAGTGGATGCACCTGCGCCATTACAAACGATTTTGAGCCATGTCGTTCAAGGCCTCTAACCATTGGTGACTTTCGTCTCGCGGACCCCAACCAGGCAGTCTATATCTACCAACATGACCTCAGTCCACATGTCAGTAACTTCATGGATTTGTGCCATGTTTTGGTTTGGCCGCCCCTAACTTTCTCCCAACCAACCAGCTTACGTGTGAACATAGTACAACACATCATGTGTTAATTCGTTCATACTAGTGCCTATGCATTACGACAACTTGATCAATAGAATTCGAACAAACTAGTCAAGATGACAGGACCATAACATTGAACATTAATCACTGGTCAAATTAATAATAATAATAGTTTGAATACACTAATTTAAATAATAAAAATGATCAATGGATTTTTCAATCTGATTAAGTGGGTGATTTATGAAACTGAACAAAAAAGAAATCGATAATTAGTTTGTTTTCTCAATGATTCAAGGTAAATAAAGAAAAAACTAAGACAATACATTACCTAATTCATAAAAAAGTCGTAATATGTAGTGATTATTCATTTCATCATCATCTTCTTCCAGAATCACTTTTAAAGGATCTATTGGTTTTAACAATAAAAAAAGTAATAAACAAAGTAATATACATAGTAAATGCATTGCGGAGTTGTTGTGAGGATTGTTAAGTTTTATTTGAAACCATGAATCGATCAGTGTTAGAACACCATTAGAAACCTGGAAGCACTGAAAGACGGCCGTTTCGTTCTGGTATGGGACTCCTCAGTAGTGCTCACGCACGACTCCTGCACCCCGCAGGACTCGAACCCAGGACCTTCGGTATTGTGCGCGAACGCCCCAACCGTTCGACCACTGAGCCGGTATCTAACGGTGTTAGATGTCTAACTTGATCAAATTCACGGAGTTGCGCAACCTCATACAGACACTGCCTACACACGAACAGGTTGAACATCACTGGTCACGTCTTCCCACTAGAACTCGGAGAAGATTCCTCACGAAGCTACTCACTGGTGAGCACAGGTAATTTGCATCATTATTTTAGTGCTTCGATGATAACTGTGTATACACGATTCTTAGAAAAATTCGCAGCAAAGTGCCAATTGAAGAATATTGATTTCTGTGCTTTTATAGTAATGTTTTTAAGCAGGGAAAATGAATATAATAAAAGTAGGAGATTATTTTGAACAAGACGATACTCATGTTTCCAAAAAAGACCCAGGACATACATAGCAGGTTGGAGAATGCTGGTCGGATGCCTATGGCTCTGCTGGGGGTAATTGTGTAGGAAAGTTTTCATAACCTCAGTTTATAATATTATTTAAGTGACAGAAATGTCAAAAATACACTAATAAACTCATATTCTGTTATTTCCTAATTTTTCTAATCACTTTGTAAAATTTTCAAATTTATAATGCAGAGTAGTAGATTTTACGCCCTCAAAGTCTAATTATTATAGATCTGTTTGAAAGATTCCCTGTAGAATATTTTGTTTTCCGAACTACTATTCGTTCTCTGAGCTGAAAGTTTTGGTTCTGGAGCTTTCATTGTTTTTCTGATGTTGCTTTTTGAACGGCATCAGTGCAACTCGTTGCGTGTGTGTGTGTGAGACATTACTTCTTCATGTCCGGATTATAAAAGCAGCTCCTCTGAAGCTAGTCTTTTTATCCATCCTGTACTGAATGTGTTTCACTGATTCCAAGCATTACCAGGTTGAACTTATTGATTTCTACACAACAACTTGAATAGTTCTTCCCGTCTTCCACATTGTGAGAACACTCTATGTATCTAAATTAATATTTGATCTGGTTTTCAGAAGAAACATCGGCCTTGTGACTTCCGTAGAAACTCGACTATCAGCCTCAGTTGTCATGAATGAATCTTCCGAATGGCGTCTTTCTAACTTTCAGGGCATAGTTAGAATTATTTGTTTTGGTTAGCGCTTTCTTGGGCAGTTAGATTTCCACGGAACGGGGTCGCTAACCCCATCATCAATTGTGATGGTTGAGACATGTTTTACCTAAAAACAAACAACCAGAGGGTGCAACAAATGTGCAATACTGGCCAGTATTGAGGTTGAGAAAATCTAGGGAGAGAAAAGGAGCGATCCAACATGAATAAATGAAGTCACTGATTGTAATTCTGACTTGCACTGCACGTTAACAACAATCAACGTTCGAACGTGTAATAATATCTGCGTTAGCACTTACGCAACACTAAGTAGTGAATCCTAAAATTCCTTCGTGCGTAGTAATGAATGGTATAGTTGATGAAATCTAGCATAAGACCATCACTCACAGAAAATGACATTATTGTTTAAAGATATCACAAATCCCAGGTGAGAAATGTGAATGCTCAAAATTGTATTTCCGAGTAAAATTGTGAAAGAAGCATTAAAAAAAATAATGCCAATAATTAGCTAGATTGATTTTATTTCATAAAAAGAAAAAATACTGTCTACTACTAATTAAGCATTGTCTTCTTGTAAAGGTCAAATCTACAACATTAATTACTCTTTTAAAATGTGCTCTTCGATTTTAAACAATCAATAAACCTTAACTAATTATTATCAACAAACAAGAATAATACTTGTTTTTTGTATTATTTTTTGGTTTTAAAATAACTACAAAAACGCACTCAATTCTCTATCAGATAAAAAAAACATAAATATGATTGAAATTTAAAAATTGCAACAACAATGTACTAGTGTTGATATAGTTAAACAAATTCAAGTTTCAATAATTAGTAAGAAAGAAAACAAATTCTTGTGGCGGTGTTTCGTTCTCTGATCTCTGGATGTTTTAGTTGTGGAGCTTTCATTGTTCTTCTTCTGAACAACATCATCAGCACAAACTTCAGATAGAAGAAGTGAAGCATTCGAATTTCTCCACGCGTTTGACCTGTAGCTTGTTCTGCTAACCTCGATCTTGATTGGTTGCTGTTGACCTTAAACCTGTCGTTGTTTGCACCTTTGTGTTTTGACTGTATCCCCCTTTTGATCTGCTTCCTGATCTTATGTTTGCCTATGGTTTTCCTGATTGGTTGATAAATTGGGTCAATGTCGATGTGTTTATTGATTGCTGATTGACCTGAGTGCCAAGCTTCTAAAAATTCTCTAGTGTTCGTTGATGTTCTTTGATGTATGGCAGGATGAGGCGTTTATTTGTTCCTGTGCTTGATTTCACTTCTGATGGTCTTGCAAACAACGATAGGTCAAAGGTCAACAGCAACCAATCAAGATCGAGGTTAGCAGAACAAGCTACAGGTCAAACGTGGAGAAATTCGAATGCTTCACTTCTTCTATCTGAAGTTTGTGCTGATGATGTTGTTTAGCAGAACAATGAAAGCTCCACAACCAAAAAAACCAGCTCAGAGAACGAAACACCACCACAATCATCCATCTGAGCTACTAGTTTTCTCCACCATCTCAAAAAACAAATTCAACTAAATCTTTTAAATTTTTTTGAAAATTTGATCATAAACACTATTGATTATCTTATGTTTTGTGATGGAAGTGGTTTTAGCTTACTTCTGAATGTTATAATATGAATATTTGTTAATGCTGAATGTTCCACAAATTTATACATGATATCCTCTTCTGGTATTTCTAAACAAAGCTAATAAAAACAAAAATAAAAAGAATAACATTTCAATCAGTAGAATTTTTATTTCTTTCAATGTATACTACCTATTCACATTAGTTTTTACGTTTTAGATTTGTTTTAACTCACTAACTCACTCACTAACTAACTAACTAATGAACATATGATCACCGCATGTGCTATTTTACATGACTTCCATAACATATCGTTAAGTCAATTATTACTCAAAAAAAATATCGAAAAACAATGTTCCTAGGGGTTAATTCGTATATTTTTCTCTCTTTCTTCCTTCCTGCTTCCTTTGATGAAATGTCAACAGATGATCATCATCATGATTCATGAAACATAAGAAAAACTGATCAAAATCTTGATATCATCAATGAGAGAGTAAGATTGATCATGATGACTTTGAATTATCATCATCATGATTTAGAAACATTTTATACATACTGTTTTATTTTGAATATTGACAATTGAAATTTTGTACTGGTGTGTATGTATGTGTGTGTATTTGTTGGGAATGATTCACTTTAATGGTACTTATGGTATTTATTAAACTGAGTAGTATTCTGTTATAATCAGAAGCTATATCTATATGCTTTGAGAAGAAATATTATAAACATTTTTTTGAAACCATGAATCGATCAATGTTAGACCACCATTAAGAACCTGGAAGCACTGAAAGACGGCCGTTTCGTCCTGGTATGGGACTCATCAGCAGTGCGCATCCACGACTCCTGCACCCCGCAGGATTCGAACCCAGGACCTTCGGTATTGTGCGCGAACGCCTAATCATCGGACCACTGAGCCGGTATCTAACGGTGTTAATGTCTAACTTGATCAATTCACGGAGTTGCGCAACCTCATACACAGTCTTCGGTAGTTACCGTCTACACCTGATTAGGTTGAACTTCACTGGTCACGTCTTCCCACTAGAACTCGGAGAAGATTCCTCACGAAGCTAGTCACTAGTGAGCACAGGTAATTTGCATTACGGGGTTGTGAAGATTGTTAAGTTACACATTTTTGAAACCATGAATCGATCAATGTTAGACCATCATTAGAAATCTGGAAGCACTGGACGGCGGGGTGCAGAAGTAGTGGATGTGCACTGCCGAGGAGTCCCATACCAGGACGAAACGTCCGTCTTTCAGTGCTTCCAGGTTTCTAATGGTGGTCTAACATTGATCGATTCATTGTTTCAAAAATGTGTAACTTAACAATCTTCACAACCCCGTAATGCAAATAAATATTATGTTTAATACTTTAAAATTTATAACATTTAATATTTACAGATACAATTTCAATGCGAGCTGAAATTAGTTGGACAAAAATAAGTAGAAGTTAATTACACAGTTGAAATCATCAATCAATCATTGTTAGACCACCATTAGAAAACTGGAAGCACTGGACGGCCGTTTGGTCCAGGTATGGGACTCATCGGCAGTGCGCATCCACGACTCCTGCACCCCGTAGGATTCGAACCCGGGGCCTTCGGTATTGTACGCAAACGCCTAACCATCGGACCACTGAGCCGGCATCCAACGGTGTTACTGCCTACACCCGACAGGGTTGAACTCCATTGGTCACGTCTTCTCAACTAGAACTGCGAGAATTTCTTCACGAAGCTAGTCACTAGTGAGCACTGTTACGATATTTTCGGGACTCATCAGCAGTCGCATACCAGGAGGAGACGGCTGTCCAGTGCTTCCAGGTTTCTAATGGTGGTCTACCAATGATTGATTGATGATTTCAACTGTGCAGGAACACAAACCTCCAGAAACTCTTCCCGAAAAGTTAATTAGTAGAGAAAGTTATCTTATTTTTTATTTTGTTTTATAACTTTTATGTGATGCGTAATTACAAATCGAGACATAATAAGACTATAGATCATCAGATATTCAATCACCTTTTTCATTGTCTTATTGATACAGCCGTTTCAATGTGGATCAAATTCTAACGATCAAGTTGTAATGTGATCACTGGTCCAAGTCCTAACCTTCTGAATTCCTCTTCACCTCTATCTTTCTCTTTCTAAATTTACCGCACTGAATTATACTCCTTGTATAATATCTTCGAATCCTAATCTCTCCGATTACTGCTAATACTTTTTCCTACCTCTACTACTATGAGATTTGAATTGACAATTATAACTCTTTGCTAACGTGGTATGGTAACTTGAACTGGTGTACTTACATACGAAGTTATACGTTGCTGTTGATGATGATGACTGGTCTAAGTGACTTGATATCATGTGTACTATACTGATATTTTGGAGATAATTGGTGGCAATCCCTGACCCTAAGATTCATAAATAGCCTGATGGTAACGTGTAAAACTGTGGAACTAGGTGATTGGTGGTTTGAATCTTACAGAGAGCATCAGTCTTCAGAGGAATATAAGTACACCTTGCTGATGAATGTCAGCCAAGACAGGATCTAGATCAAGTAGAGTTTTTTTGTCGATCATCTTCAACCACTTAACGCACAGTTTTAGATCATCAGATATTTCTGATACAGAAAAATCAATAGGTTCGAATTAAGTGATAATGGTTATTTCTACTACATAACCCAGTTTTCATTTCGTTATCATCGGTAATAACTATCGTCTTAATCTTGACTGCTTGGTTGACTCTATAGAGGTCATAGTTTTACACAAAAGAAGAGACATCCTAGCAATCCGTCTGTGGGCCAGTTGTTTATACTCTGGTTTCATCAAAGATGAGTATGGTTTATGGACAATACAAAAAATCAATTTAACTGACTAACTCCAATTTTAATATCAAGAATTTTATATGATTAACTATCGTAAGAAAGCATAATCTTCAATGATATAAATTTGAAAAATCACGTTACATTTCTTAGTCGTTCAATTCAAATACAGATAAACACGTTTCCTCTTCGTTTGTTCAAACTGTTAAGCAGTTGAGAAGACTAAAGACAGTTAAAAACTTGTAACTGGCCAACCAAATAAAGTGAACATAAATCTGTCATCCCTCCTTACAACCAGACAAATAAATATTAGCTGAGCTATCGTTTCGTCCTGGTATGGGACTCCTCAGCAGTTTTACCCAATAGCAAGTCTCATTTGTCATCTTTTGCCTACCATTTAGCCTTGAGATGATAAGTGACTTTGGTATATGGATATACCATAGACAATTTTATAGATTCTTATGATCCAATAAATTAGATCAGCTGTCTATCAAGTCAATGTTTAAATCACGCAATCAGGTAAGTAGTTTAAGGTGACCTATACTTTAGAAGATAATGTTATCGAGTTGTTTACAGTTTGTGAATAATTCAGTAATTGTTATTAAACGAATAACTGTTCATAGCTGAAGGGTATGAAGCAGTTAGTTTGTTTACAATAAAGCATTCTTTGCAAAAATGTAAATATCTAGTTTTCCAAATAACCAGTTATTTTACATCGAGACTTGTATCGATCGATCATGACTTCAACTTTTAACTGTCACACCACAAACAGACCACCAAAATCACAGGTGCATAAAACAAAACGATATACAAGTGCGGAAGAGCAAGTGGGCTAATGAATGGATAGGACTAAACTATATATATATATATATACATATATATATATATATACCAAAAGAGATGAGTCATAGAATTATTTAAGAGCAACTCATTTAAAGCAAATAGAATGAATATTGTACGTAGGCGGTAAGCAATGTTGAATCATACCTACACACAAAAAAGCGACAATAATAAGGGTACAATGGTGCAAATAAGGTTTTGCCATATGAATGATTCAGTTAAATAAGTTAGTCATGAGAAGGGCTTAATCAAATTAAGTGTGAACAAACTCAGATTTATGTTAGGTACTACAAGCTGCATGGATAACTCATTTGAATTACATTGAATTCGTTCACATAATATCAACACAAAACTTAATGTGGTGAAGTTTCGTTCTCTGAGCTGGATATTTCGGTTGTGGAGCTTTCATCTTTCTTTTGAACAACATCAGCGGAAACTTCGAATAGAAGTGAAGTATTTGAAATTCTTTACACATGACCCGTAGCTTGTTCTGTTAACCTCTACTAACAAACAAAAGGAACATCAATGAGATCCTCAATCTCAGGACTTATCACAGAAACCGTGATGTAAAAACTAGAAGCATAGATTTTACCAGTGATCAAGCGAAAAATGTGGGTTTGCTAATGTAGACGGCACATTCGTCATTATTATTAAAATGAACGAGGTGGAAAACACCTACAGTCCGATTAGCATCTTCGATGATATAAAATTCACAATGGAAAAGGGATCAAACAACAAACTATCATTCATGGATGTGGTAATCACTAGAATGGACATAAGAAAACTGGAGACTCAAATATTTCGGAAGCCAACCCACACAGATCTAATTCTCAATTACAATGGCAACAACCCAAGAACTCACAAAGTCAACTGCGTACAAACGTTGTTCAAGAGAGCAAAGACACCCTGTAGCACACACTAAGCACAAAAGAACGAAGAAAAGCATCTGATGACTTTCCACTCAATTTCACCAAGAAAATTATCAACAGAAGCAAAACCAAGCACAAGAACTAATAAATGGATCATCCTACCATATTACAGCGCGACTACTGAAACCTTTTGGAATGGGTGTAGCTCACAAGCCGACAGAATCACTTCATGCAATCCTATGTGACCCAAAGAACAAAATGACAAAAGAAGAAAAACCAAATATCATCTACAAAATAGACTGCTCAGACTGTGAAAAACACCACATAAGACAAAGTGGACATCCTCTTTAGCTTTGTCTGCGTGAATGTCAATTAGCAGTCAAACGCCATGACAATTCTGCCCATATATTAATGCATACAGACAACATGGACATACATTCGATTGAGACAATGGTGAAATATTGGATAGGGGAAGCACAAAGAACACTACGGAATTTTTAGCGAAGCTTGGCACTCACGTCAATCAACAACACATCGACATTGACCCAATTTATCAAACAGTCATAAAAATCATAGACAAACATAGGATCAGGAAACAGATCAAAAGGGGGATACAATCAAAACAAATGTGCAAACCACGACAGGTTTAAGGTCAACAACAATCAATCAAGGTCGAGGTAAACAGAACATGCTACAGGTCAAACGTGGAGAAATTCGAATGCTTCACTTCTATCTGAAGTTTGTGCTGATGATGATGTTGTTCAGATGAAGAACAATGAAAGCTCCACAGCCAAAACAACCAGCTCAGAGAACCAGACACCACCACCACAATCATTCACCTGAGCTACAAATTTTCCACGCCATCCGAAAAGCTAGCTATGCATATATATATATATATATATATATATATATATATATATATTGAAGAGAGACTTACTTCAAGTTTTTCAACATCAGATAGTGGCATCGACAAAACATTCGACAAATTACAAAAATCAACATATTTAATTTTATCAGTGATTTTCAAATCATTCAATGGCCAGCGTAGTTTTCGTCTAGCATGAAATCAAAGAATAAATTAGAACAATTTCATTATTGAATGAAGGGAGGAATATTTTTTTATGTGAAACGGTTAACATTTAGTTACAACAATAGTTATTATAATAGTAAAAGCTTTTTAAGAATTTGAATAAGTTTAGTTAAAGAGAATGATATTTTTTGTAAATTTCTATTCCGTCCTCTGGACTGGAAAGGTTATAATTGTGTAGCTTTTACGGTTTGTAAAAAATCTTTTTTTGCAATATGAATTTCATGATTTTTCAAAATTTGAGCTGATAATGTGGTGCGAGCTACTTATAAGTAGTATATGACGTGAGTAAAAACGTAATGTCTGGCAGCAGATGGGGGAAGATCAAGAAAGAAAGAGTTAGAACACAATGGAATTTGTATGAAACGCATGAATAGTGACAATGGATTGATGTTTTGCAACAGGAACAGTCCAGTTCTGATATTTTGCAAATTAACGATTTACGATATGGTTTTCCGATTTTACTGAGTAACTCTGTAATTTTCGTTAAATACATTTCGGTTGCCCCACCTGTGTTCTCATTCGCTACAATAATATTTCATCAAGTGAATGTTTTGTCTTCATATTTGTTGAGATATTATGGTGGAGCTTAACGATCGATCATCCTTCACAACACATGAATACTAACAGATTTATGGCTTCTTTCTCCGAACAATAGAAAAGGAGAGTATTAGTTCTGTTAAAATTACAAGTACATCCTACTGATAAGTCGAAAACAGCACAAAATTTAAGTTCAAGGTTTCCTGTTGACTAACTCTACCGATCAATCACTCCTAATCATCATTCTACTAAAGTATAGGGCCTTCAAATAGTTTCATTTTTTCTTATTAAACAGTATCCCTCAATGTTTATTCATTCCTGCTATCATGATTAATGCCAAAATTATTACAATATCTTTTTATTATCCTTCTTGGTTGATTACATTTTGTTATACTGATTTGTTATTATATGAGAATTCAAAGTAGTGTTATTATGTGTTAGAATTTATTTTGATGCCAACTAGTCACTCTTTTGTCACGATACTGAGAATTTGATAAAATATATATGAACTAATCTGTTTGTTTTAGCTTTCAAGCATACATTTCATGTGACTCAATTGAATTATGTATAATAAAGGGAGACGAGTTTAAAAGTTAAAAGCTTTGATTATCCGTCCAGACCGTAGCTGCTACCTTGATGTGGTGAACCGGCTTGACTATCGTGATGATCCAGCCGAGCTATACTGGCTGGAACATATGTTCCTCAAGGTTCAAACATGCCAGACAGATCGATTGGAGAACGATCAGACTAAAAGCAGCTACCCAAGGTCTGAGGGCGAAGTCGTACTGCTGACTGACTGCAGAGGGGTGTGACAGCAGTAAGGTGTTTCCCTCGGACAACCAGCATCTGCAGCGATGCTGCCTTCTCACAAGGAAGGAAGGGTTAGAAAAGGTCGGCCCTAAAAATGTCACACCTCCCCTAACTCACGGATTTCCGTCTCCTTAGGTAAGGGTGCCCTCTAAGGGCTTTTAAGAGCGGAGCTAATACTCAGAAAACCTATCATAAAAAAGCCGTGCATGACCGGCCTCAAGCAGTTGTCCCTTGGGCTCTGCGGTCACGCACCCAGGTCTCCAAGACCAACGCTAATCTGTCTTCCTTTTCAGGTTCCTCAAGAAACAACCTTCCACGGTGTGGGCAGCCTGGAAGTGACAACCGCCCTCATACCTGTAACAGCACACGAGACCGAATTGGTCAAAATCAAATCTGTCATAATCATCCGTATATTCAAAATACTAAAATGTTATCATCAGTGGAATAAGTTTATTTTATCAATTTTTTTTTTCAAATAAATTTCTGTACGTTTGTTATGTTTTTGTTATGAAAAGACTGATGAAAATGGTATGCGGTTTCAAGAAAGCGAACTGATGAACAATACTTAGTGAAATCATCTAATTTGCGAATTGCTCATTTTCTCCAACTACTGTGAATCATAGAATAATAAGACAAACTGGCTAAATCAAATGTTGATGCAAAACAAAGGGAACTCTTAAGAGTGAAATTGATCATTCTCATTTTTGGCGAATTCCGTTGATTGTTGCTTTTAAATTACAAACATTATTAGCAAAAATATCACACAAATGGATATCAACTCTGGGAGAGAAGCACAGTATCCAGTGGACAGCTAGGACGCAGCTGGACGATCTGGACTTCGCAGATGACCTGGCTCTTCTATCGCACACGCAACAACAAATGCAAGAGAAGGCAACCAGTGTAGCAGCAGCCTCTGCAGCAGTAGGTCTCAACATACATAAAGGAAAAAGCAAAATTCTCCAATGCAACACAACATGCACCAACCAAATCACTCTTCATGGAGATGCCTTGGAGGACGTTAACACCTTTACATATCTTGGCAGCATCATCGACAACCAAGGTAGATCCGATGCAGATGTGAGGGCACGGATTGGCAAAGCAAGGGCTACATTTCTACAGTTGAGAAATATCTGGAACTCCAAACAACTTTCAACCAAAACCAAAATCACAATTTCCAATACAAATGTCAAGACAGTTCTACTGTATGGAGCGGAAACTTGGAGAACTACGAAAACCATCATCCAGAAGAAACAAGTATTTGTTAACAGTTGTCTACGCAAAATACTTCGTATTCGTTGGCCAGACACGATCAGCAACAACTTACTGTGGGAGAGGAAAAACCAGATTCCAGTGGAGGAGGAAATCATGAAGAGTTGGTGGAAGTGGATAGGACACACACTACGAAAAGCACCTAACTGCGTCACAATACAAGCCCTCACATGGAACCCTCAAGGCAAAAGGAAAAGAGGAAGGCCAAAGAATACATTACGCCGAGAAATAGAGAAAGATATGAGAGGAATGAACAAACATTGGACAGAACTGGAGAAGGAAGCCCAGGACAGAGTTGGTTGGAGAAGACTGGTGGGCGGCCTATGCTCCATTGGGGGTAACAGGTGTAAGTAAGTAAGTATTGATCAATTAAGTAAATCAGATACAACTTATTCTGTATTCAGACGACAGAGTTTTCGATTTATTTTATTTACATTGTAGAAATCATGATCTCCTTATTTTGAAAGTATCCCTATTTTCGTAATTATAATAGATATTTTTTAAATTCTACAAGGTTATGTTCTTTAACGCGTAAGACTGACCTTCATGAATAATTTAAAATTATTATATAACTTTTCTCAATAAATTAAAATGAATATCCATATTTATATTAAATAAGCATTAAAGTAACATGTATGATTTCGAAAGTTATTAATAAGAAATGAAATCACATAGATGACAGATTGATTATCAATGTCACCAAGATTTTCAGCGACAGTTCGTCAATAAACAGTTTCATTTAACTTTAAATCACCTATTACAAAACTTTGAATTTTAATCAAACAAAATGATTATTTTTATGCCAACTATATCAATGACTTTGACAATCATTTCAGGTCATATAATAAAACATCATTGTAACATTGAATTGTTAAAAAACAATTTATCATTTATACTGCAGTTTTGTTCTTTTGTTATGCTCGAGAACTCAGGTGAGGACATAAACAATATATATTTAAGCGAATATTACAAAGTTGATAGGCATATTTACAAAAGCTTCCCGTGAATCATCATTTGCAAACTAATCCTGATTCAGATTTCAGTGTTCTTTCATTCAGACTGTTTACGTTACCTACAAATCGCCTTCTATTCTCATTCTTTCCTTCTCGATCTTTTGCTGTCAGACGTTTTATTTCCATTTGATATCATATACTACTTATGTGAACATAAGTAGCGTACACCACACTTTGACTTAAATGTTTTGGTTGTGGTGCTTTTATTGTTCTTCTGAACAACATCATGATCATCATCATCAGTAGAAGCTTAAAACCAAAAACTAGCAGCTAATATAACATAGTCGTCATTGTTTAAAGTAGCTAAATGATGCGGGGAAAAAGTGTCTTCTATCATTCAATAACCTGTTGAATAGACCAATAATATGTTGTAGTGTGGTGCGCTCTACTTATAAGTAGTATATGACACGAGTGAAAACGTAATATCTGGCAGCAGAAGATGGGGGAAGATCAAGAAAGGAAGAGTGGGAACACAGTGGAATTTGTATGAAACGCATGAACAGTGAAATGTCAGACAATGGATTGATGTTTTGCAAATTAACAACGGTTTACGATATGGTTTTCCTATTTTACCAATTAACACTGTAATTTGTGATAAATGCAATTAGGTTGCCCTCACCTGTGTTCTCCTTCAATACAGTAGTAATAAAACATTAATACTACTTTTACTACTTATTACTTGATACGACTGTGGTTGGTGTATAAGATTCATTTGTTAAGTCAACAATCAAGGTTGAATAGATTCAACTAAGGTAATAATAACCAGTAATTGATCTGTGTAATTGTGAATGTATGAAAGCAATTTAACAATCTCATGAGATAGTCAACTGATTGATATAACCAACGGGTTAAAATAAAACTACTTTTATTCAAAATGTGATCACATGTCACAGACAATGGATTGGAGGAAGTCAATTTTCTTTTTTTTGTGGGTTTATTTAAACTCTAATTAATTAATTAAATACGAACTCACTATAAGGAGTTCAGAAAACATTGAACAACTAACTGTTTTATCTTAGTGGAATTATTCGCCAACAATGCCGAATGAATGACCTCATTGTAGGTGAAGCTCGAAATCGTTAGGTTTTCTACAGAGAACACTTAATCTTTAGACACGTTTGAACTTCTCTATTCAATGATTTACATCATGAACAACTGTATGAACTGTGACAAATTAACAATTTTCTCATAAAAAAATCCCATTTCTATGATACACAAGAAAAATAACGTACTTATTACCAGTTTTTGGTTTTGGTAAAACAAGGCGCATTAATTCTTCATCTTGTTGTCGAATAATTGCTTCACAGAATTGATCTTTCTTAGTTGATTCTTGTGTATTATTGTCTTCTCTTTTCGCCTTCTCCTTCTGCTCATCATCATGATCATCATCAACATCACCATTATTTTTTATAGTCGCACAATTTTTCAATGTAATACTTAACCATATGATACATCGTAAACAACCATTAATATTTGTTTCATTCAATACAAGTGAATGTAAAACAGATTTGAAATATTCCATAAAATTGATTGCACCATCATCAGCTTCATGATTTACTATTTCTGTAAGATAATAAACGATTTTTTTGAACAAAAAAAACAAAAAATTTATTCCTGAACGAAAATCAAATAAAAATGAGATTTTTCTTATTTGAAACCATGAATCGATGAATGTTAGATCACTATTAGAAACCTGGAAGCACTGGACGGCCGTTTCGTCCAGGTATGGGACTCCTCAGCAGTGCGCATCCACGACTCCTGAACCCCGCAGGATTCGAACCCAGGACCTTCGGTATTGTGCGCGAACGCCCAACCATCGGACCACTGAGCTGGTATCTAACGATGTTAATGTCTAACTTGATCAATTCACGGAGTTGCGCAACTTCATACACAGAATCTACTGGCAGGTCAGCTGAAATGTCTGACAATGAAAGTTTTATCTTCAAAAGCATTTTTGCTCAATTCATCAAGTTAGCATGAACATGGGTGTAATTTTATGAGATATGAAGGAAAGTGTAAAAAATAATCATTTATTCTATATATACGAATTTGTACACGGTAAATTGCAGTCACATAAATTTCTCATAAAAGTATATCATAAGACACATTAGAGTGAATTAACTTTATAGGCCTGTAGTGATCGAGAACACAGGTGGGGCAACCGGATTGTACTTAACGAAAATTACAGAGTTACTCAGTAAAATAGGAAAACCGTATCGTACACGGTTAATTTGCAAATCTTCAATCCATTGTCTGACATTTCACTATTCATGCGTTTCATGCAAATTCGATTGTGTTCCCAATCTTCCTTTCTTGCTCTTCCCCCATCTTCTACTGCCAAACATTACGTTGACACTCACGTCATATACTACTTATAAGTAGCTCACACCACAGGCCTAAGTAAAAATGTTCTAAAAGGTCTTATTCATTTATCAGATACTTGAATTAATAGTTGTTGTCTAGACATTAAGTGTTCATGCATGAGACTGAAGGTTGTGGGTTTGATTTCCGCGAGCAGGGGTCGTGGATTTGCACTACTACAGAGTCCTATACTAGGACAAAACGGTTGTCCAGTGCTCGCAGGTATTCAATGGTGATTGATTCATGATTTCAATGACAAACGACAACCTCCATAACTCTATAAGGCAAAAACTAGTATCAGTATTGTTTACAGCTCTACTGACGTCATTCACTTGGTCTCGTCTATGTTAAACTATTATTAAAGACATAAAGTATCATCCTACCATTATTATACAATGAAATCAATGATGTTAATTTGTAATCTTTCTTTATTGTATGTACTCAAACAGAAGACAATCAATGTTTGAATTATGCAGGTCAACAGAACTTATCACCTATTCACACACACATGCACACAGACAGAGAAATATATATATATATATATATATATATATATATATATATATATATATATATATATATATATATATATATATAACAGTAAACGTACCTTTAGAATTTTCCGTTACTTCCAGCTGAGTTGAAGGTAAATGACAATTTTCTTGGCAATCCTAAAGTATTCATTAAGGAATAAATGAATGACAAAACACTAGATTATAATCTATAAATATAAGAACTTTGTAAATATTGCAAAGAATGGTAGGGAACAACTTCATTTCTATATTATTCTACGAATAGGGAAATTGAAGTATTCAGTAATGTATCACAAAAAGCAATAAGATGTTTAGTATATTTAGACAGACAGACATAACGCAGAAATTCGTACGTACGTACACCAGTTCAGGTTGCCATACCACATCAGCACAGAGACGCAACTGTAATTTCAAATCCAGGAGTGATAGCGATACTAGAAGTATTAGCAGCAATGGGGAAGTTTAGCGAGGAAAGATATGATTTGAAAAGTATAATTCAGTGAGATAAATTTAGAAGGAAAAAGGTAGAGATTATGAGGAATGCAGAAGGTTAGAATTAAAAAGCACACAAAGAGTGGATGCACCTGCGCCATTGTAAACGGTTTTAAACCATCTCGTTCAAGATGTCTAACGATTGGTGACTTTCGTCTCACGGACCCCAACCAGATAGCCTACATCTACCAAATTGACTCAGTCCACTTGTCAGTGACTTCATGGATTTCTGCCATGTTTTGGTGGTTAGGCTTACGTAACACATGTACCAACCACCTCAACTGATGAAGTTTCAATGCTTCATCTATTGATTTGCCATTCTTACCTAGAACTCGTTTCCCAACGACAGCATTGCTTACTTGGTCATCCCAGGATACACGAGCAATGCTTCAGAGACATCGATGATCGAAGACTAGTAACCTACGAACATCTTCTACTCTTAACGGCCATGTTTCGCATCCGTATAGTAGGACAGAGCGAACTACTGCACGGTAAACTCGTGCTTTGGTTAGCAAGCGGATATCTCGCCTGTGCCATAAGTGACGCAGGTTGGCAAAAGCCAATCGAGTCAGTCACCAGGCCATCAGCACTGATGAGACTTCCCAGTTTAGTATATTTGGTATACGGTTAACAGTTAAATCACGAATACACATTACGATCGATTTTGAATTCGTCATTTGGCGATGCGCCCCCAAATCCGATTGTTAATGTGTTTACATTGCGACTGGAATCGAACAGTTATCGGGTAAAAACCCCAGCAAGTTAAACACTGAGTTAATGAATCTATATAACCACTAAATTGTTCCAACAGATCGGGTGGTATACTTTTACATCTCCATAATGATAAATTTGGAGAACATCAGCATACGGTAGAAGACAACAGACAAACGTGTCCAATGATTAGTGGAACGTCGGATGTCAATAGTCAAAGCTTGTATTATCTAGCACAAATACCCACTGGGATGAAATCATTTATAGTATGAGACTAACCAATTATATTTGAAGCGAAACAAATGTTAGTCTGTCTTCTTTGATTAACCAATTACAACTTAGATGCCCTAACAACACAATGATAAACGAATAGAATTGTGATTAGGGCTTATGAATACAAGTACGAAGAACTTTTTAAATTTTCAATCCGCACTGAATTTCAAGTCATGTTGTTCATGAGATATGCACACTAGTAGTCAGTGTGTTTATTACCTCCCTCATTAAAAGTGAAAAGTGTTTTTCGTCCGAATTTCAAATTAACTAGACATGTAGATGGCCAGTGTCTCTTTATAGTTTCGCAACAGTCCGTATCCAACATGTTCATAGACTTCGTAATTTGCTCGTCCAGGCAACCGTTACTAAATAGCGCCTCACGGTTTATAAATCAGAAGGCAAATACAAAGTGTTGAATACGTTTATTTTCGCACACCACAATTAGACTAGTAGTTCACAGGCACACGGAGCGAATGTCAAGCAAGCTAGCAAGTGAGCGAATGAGCGAACAATTCATAAGATTAAAATGTACATAATATGTACATCGGAAAATTGCTGAGTCATCGAAATGTTTAAGAGGTTAATATTGATTGAAGCGAACAGGATGAATATGCGCGTAGGCGTTAAGCGATGTTCAATCATACCAGCTCATACAAATCAGACAATAATCAAAGCGAATGGTACATATAAGTTATTGTTATGCAAATGACTCGGTTAAGTAAGTTAATCAAAAGGCTTAAGCAAATTAAATAGGGACGAACTTAAATGTGGAGGTATGACAGTTATATAACACCGATTTGAGTTGAACCTTTTATGGTAAAATAAAACTTACACATTTTTGAAACAATGAATCGATCAATGTTAGACTACCATTAGAAACCTGGAAGCACTGGACGGCCGTTTGGTTCTGGTATGGGACTCCTCAGCAGTGCGCATCCACGACCCCTGCATCCCGCAGGATTCGAACCCAGGACCTTCGGTATTGTAGGCGAACGCCTAACTATCGGACCACTTAAAAATCTTCACAACGCCGTAATGCAAATAATGTCTAAACATGAAAAAACTTACGTGCCTTGAAATTGTCGACGTAGCATTAACTGAACCTGTAAAATAGAAGAAGAAAGAAAATGCATCAAACTGTTCATAATATTTTACAATAAATACATCGATTTACACTGAAGTTGTAAGTTAAAGTTTTATGATTGAGGTCAACGAAAAAAAATAGTGCATAAACAGTACATTTTCATCCTTATAACTTATGATCAATAAAAAAGTTGGTGAAGATTTGAGATACACCTTACTACCACCTATTTCAGAAGATGCAACTATATATCAGGAACAATTGTACTGTTAGTGAATACAGTTGTACATTGTATACGCTCATATGATTTTGAGATGGTGGAGAAGATTTGTAGCTCAGGTGGATGATTGTGCTGGTGGTGGTGATGTTTGGTTCTCTGAGCTGGATGTTCTGGTTGTGGAGCTTTCATTGTCCTTCTTCTGAACAACATCATCATCAGCACAAACTTCAGATAGAAGTGAAGCATTCGGATTTCTCCACGTTTGACCTGCTAACCTCGATCTTGATTGGTTGTTGTTGACCTTAAACCTGTCGTTGTTTGCACCTTTGTTTTGATTGCATCCCCCTTTTGATCTGTTTCCTGATCCTATGTCACCTATGATTTTCCTGATTGGTTGATAAATTGGGTCAATGTCGATGTGTTTGTTGATTGCTGATTGACCTGAATGCCAAGCTTCTAAAAATTCTCTAGTGTACTTTGTCCTCCCCCTACCCAGTATTTCAAGATTGTTCCAATCAAATGTGTGTCCATAATTGTCGGTATGTATTGATATAAGCGAAGCGTTGTCGCGACGTTCGACTGCTAATTGGTATTCGCGTAAACGGAGCTGAAGAGGCCGTCCACTTTGTCCTATGTAGTGTTTTTCACAGTTTGAGCAATTTATTTTGTAGATGGTATTTGGTTTTTCTTCCTTTGTCATTTTGTCCTTTGGTCTGCCATAGGATTGATTGAAGTGATTCTGTTGGTTTGTGTGCTACACCTATTCCAAATGGTTTCAGTAGTCATGCCGTATGCTCCGATATGTCTTTGATGTATGGCAAGATGATCCTTTTATTGGTTCCTGTGCTTGATTTCGCCTCTGGTGATAGTTTCGGTTGATGTTTTTTGATGAAGTTGCGTGGATAGCCGTTCTTTTGGAAGATAGTCACCAGGTGTTTTTCCTCTTTTCTTAGCGCTTCGTTTATGCTGCATTGTGTCTTCGCTCTCTTGAACAAAGTTTGTATGCATTTGATTTTGTGGGTTCTTGGGTTGTTGTTGACGTAGTTGAGAATCACATCTGTGTGGGTTGGTTCCCGAAATACTTGAGTTTCTAGTTTTCCTGTGTTAGTTCTGGTGATTAGTACATTCAGGAATGACAGACTGTTGTTTGATTCCTTTTCCATCGTGAATTTAATGTCGTCAAAGACGTTGTTGATCTGATTGTAGATGTTTTCCAGCTCGTTCTTTTTGACTTCACTTCTGCTATCTGAAGTTTGTGCTGATGATGATGTTGTTCAGAAGAAGAACAATGAAAGCTTCACAACCAAAACATCCAGCTCAGAGAACCAAACACCACCACATTGTATACACATATCTAGTTATTGATGCACTTATATCAAACATTGTCTATTGTATTATACTCAAATTAACATATTGAATGGATGAAAAGTACATAACGAATGAAACTCAGAGTGATTTCGTTATGATTCTTTTGAATTACTAGTGAAAAACAATGGTTGCTGTGTAAACAAACAGCATGTGTCAACAACAATCTTGCCTTCTTCCCTTTGTCCAAACACATCAGCTTTTGTTCCGTTATGTGTAGGATTAGTTAATCAGTTGTGTCCGGAGGATATAACAAGTAATTCATCATTAAGTTGCAACAGTATTTTTATGGATCCTGATTGAAGTAAATATACTCTGCTTTTATCCCCTTTTTTTATCTTTTAAACTTGTTTTATTTG